ATATATATATATATATATATATATATATATATATATATATATATATATATATATATGTGTGTGTGTGTGTGTGTGTGTGTGTGTTTTCTTGATAATTGTTAGAAAATACATTGACTTTATTAAAGCTGAAGTAAGCTGGGCTAATTCCTTATAAAGTCAGTGTTTCCTCCCACAGTTTGGAAAAAACTATCAGTTTATCTCAATTCTTACCCACCTCTCGGCTGGTGAGACCCAAGATTTAACAGCATTCAAAGAGAGTATTTAATTCAGTTCAATTCAGTTTATTTATCTAGCACCAAGTCAAAACAGAAGTCATCTCAGGGTATCAAAATTGAATGAAGGAAAGAAGAATTGGGATTTATTTGAACAGGCTTGAGATGGGAAACAGCTCATTCCATCATCTGAACATTTGAGTCACAACTTAGTAATGCTGCGGGCTAAATAGGTAAAGTGTTCTGTGTATCAGGATTTAGTAGGCTGTGTATTTAATTTATAATTCTAGACAGGGTTACTACGAAATACGGTGAAAAAGCTGGGTGCCTGCTTGCACATCAGTTGAGGCGACAGTCAGCCAACCAAACTATGACAGCAATAAATAACGAACAGGGAGCTGCATGCCACGACAACGCTGAAATTAATAGATGTTTTAGTCAATTTTATCAGTCATTGTACACGACCGAGTCAACAGCTAGCATATCAGACATGAAGGACTTTTTTTGAAATCTTAAGCTTCCTTCAGTGGCTCCATTATCAATAAATATACTTTGTAAAACAAAGCATTTGGGCGAGTATTCATTTAAGAATATAAAATAACCTCAAACATAAGATTTTAATTCAAGATGAGAGCTTGGTTATTATTCTAAATAAAAAAATAGACTTTTGGTAGTTTGAAAGCTGTTTTTATTTGCCTTAGATACAACAGATTATGAAACAAATGTAGGAAACAATAATGTATACATTCTTGTGTGGCTATAAAATCAAAATATCTTCAGTATTTATAACTTATTCATGGGCCTGTATCAAATTGATAGATGTTTTAAATCAAGATCAGAATAAGGGTTACTTGATTTTTTTGCTCATCTTTTCTTTACAGTTCAGTTGTACCTTTGGTGCTTCGACCCATGATAGCTTTCTTTGTATTTCTCTCTGGTCTCAGCAGGATTATGTAGCACTTGGGTCCAAACAGCGCTGCCAAGAGGCCAAAACTGGAAGCCAGGATAGCAAACACCTCCACTGCATCTGCGTGTTTTCCTGGTGAGTTGATATAAGCAGGGACAAAGGCCACCCACACGGCACAGAAGATCAACATGCTGAAAGTGATGAGTTTGGCCTCATTGAAGTTGTCTGGAAGATTTCTAGCCAGAAATGCTAGAACAAAGCTAAGGACAGACAGGCAGCCGATATAGCCCAGTAACACTGAAAAACCAACAGTGGAACCAACTATGCATTCATAAACTATCTTATCATTGTGGTAGTGGGTGTTTTTATGTGGAGTGGGTGAGGAGGAGAC